CAGATGAATAAAGAGTTGCTTAAAATTTTTAATTTGCTGTTCACTTTTGAGTAAACTATTGAATTTTAGACGGAACAAAGGATCCGCATGATGTGGTGGTGAAAGCATTAGCCTCCGGAAATGGTAATAGCGCGTTTGTTTCCCGTCGCAAACAGCTGCGGTCCGAAGCCTTGCAGATATCTCAGCATCATTGCGCTTGTATCACAGATAATACCCTGCCGTGAAAAATTGCAGTAGGCAGCAAATAAAAAGTTAACCTTGTGGTTTCAACTACAGACTCAGCCTAACTGAGTTCATTGCCGATTTGGGGTCCCCAGATCAATCCTGCCGACGGGTGATTGCTGATGGCACCGATCGATTTAGGATTTTAAAAGGAAACACTTTCTGCACTGAATGCGAGGTTTACAACCGACCTCTCCGATGAGGGCGATATGTGCCGTATTCCGACAAGTTTTTATGTTTTCGTGTTTTGTTTATTATTACCTAGTGTATCCAGAGAAACGGTAGAGTTTAGTGAACGCATGCCGACGCCCATGCTGTCGCTTTTCACAATGATCTTACCATTCGCCACTTTCCAGTTCATACTATGCAATGTTAGTTGCACAGATATTGGATTGCTTTCAAACTATTTCTGCATTTTATGAACAATTGTTCTTCTTCAGGGAAATCTTTCGCTGACGAAAACTCAGAGTGAGTTGAAGTGTTCTGTGTTTATGCATTGGGTGACGTGCGTGTTTGGGCATCGCTAGTAAAACGACAATACACAATGTGCAGTTTGTCAGACAACACTTGATCATTATTGTAGTTAACACTTTTTTGCAGAGATCACTGCAAAAGGTCCTATAAAACACCGTGGTGACTTAGCAGTAAATTCAATAACTAAAAAACAGCTTGAAGAAGACATACTCAATACTGAAGAATATAAGTTCGCATGTTTTCATCATTTTTTTTGCTACTGACAAAAATTAAGCGATTGTTGGTAGGACTAGCTTTAAAGTTATCCGAAAGTACAGTATGGTCTTAAAGGACCTGAAGTGCCTCTAGGAATGGATACTGCAGTTTGAACCTAAGGTACGGCAACACCCATAGTAATATTGGAAAGTTGGCCAAGAGCTCATAAATCAGCTCTATCCTTGAAATTAGTGAACTGTAACGTTACCAAAAAGTAAGCAGTTAGGAAAAATTGTAGGCCGCAATTCATTTGTTGGAATTGCAGTGCATGTGACATGTTCACTTCACTTAAAGCGGTTAGGCGGAAAATATAGAGTGAATATTCCAATGAAACAGACACGTCAGTGTTTGTTTTTTGCTTTGCTCTCAGCTGATTGACAATGCATTTCTTTATTATGCTAAATATGTGTTGATCATAGCTGACAATTCTTCCAGAGGCGCCCACTCAGCTACACTCGTCGTGCTGGCAGTGATCGGTGTTGTGCTTCTTGTTGTACTTCTTATAGTTCTTCTTCAAGGAGCGATTACGTTCAGTCGTGCTAAAAAGCGAAATGAGTTTATCAAAAGTTCTCTGACATGACCTCGCTGTTGAAAGGCATTTAAAAAACCTACCTCCAACAATGTAAATAACAGCTACTCTACTCTGTGCGCGGATATGTTGATAAAGGCGTTAAAAGCTACGAACGATAAAACCTCTGGCGTTGATCAATCCCAGACCGATGTATCATATATTATAATCCATTAAGTTTCGTAGAGGCCATTGGATTCATATGTGGCATATCTAGTGATTTCCAGTGCATCAAGTCAGTGCTTTTATCCACTCAAACGGTGTGGTAGCTATTTACCGACCACGAATGGATGGAATCATTGATGAGCTCATGACGCTGGATCGAACCAGTGACCGAGCCAGTGTGTATTACAAAGTACTTCTTGCCTCTGCGCAACACAAAACTCTTGAAGGAGGTTAAAAAAGGATAAAGGATAAAGCTCTCGGCGTTGATCAATCCCTAAGTGATGTGCCTTGCATTCTACTTCATCATGTATCGCTGGAGGTGATTGAATGCACATCTGGCCTTTACAATGACTCGCAGTGGCCTACCGATGTATCGAGCCAGTGCTGCTATCGTCCCAGATAAGTCTGGTGCCAATTTGCCGACCCCGGGAGATGGAAGGCTTGGGGAACCATGAGTGAGGAGATCGATTCCACGTGTGTGTCGCAGCGGCGCCTCCAACCACTGCGCAGTACGTGCCTTAAAGAAGATTAGTGTGACAAAATTTTAGAAAAGAGTTCTAACTACACTTACAATAAAATCACTGATGTCAATAAGTCATTTTAAATATCTAAAACTATTAACTATACAATGATGGATTTTCTACAAAATTCGTCAGTGGTTCTTTTATCAGCCATCAGATTTTTAATAGTTCCATAATTATATCAGTGTTTAAAAAAACTTTGTAATTTCAGAAAAAACTTCCCGTTCGAGTAGTTCGGTGAGTTCCATCGACGATTTGACTTTTTATAAAATTAAAGTGTTGACCGCACAAAACGTTTACCATCGTGAATCTCTGCAATGAATTTATGATTGAAGACAAATAACGAAGAAAAGAGAAGCCTATAAAAGAAAGCCTCTACTGTAGAAAAACTGCCTCCAGCAATCTTTTCACGGTAGGATGAGTAGCAACGATCAAACTGCTATTTGAGATGGCAACTAACGTTGTCCTCCACCACAACGACGTCTGTGTAGGCAGGTTGTTCACCAAAAGTGCAATAGTGCAAATTCTTTACACCAGTTTTCGGTTACACTAGTGTTTCACCAGATTTACGGAAGAGCAGAGCTGGACGATTTTTATTTGAGAGAGAAAGTATTGAAATAATTTGTTTCACAAGAAGTAATTGGTAGCAAAGAAATGATCGGCTGTGAACAAACCATGGATAGAAAAAAAAATCATGTTCAACTAAATATGGGCACTGTAACGTGTGTCGAGTTCAGATTGGATTGGTGTCATAGTGTGCTACTCCTCAGGCCCCGTTGTTCGTTGCAGAGTCTGATCGCTTCCTTCTTTGTGCAAGGATTCAAACCAGCCGGAGGCTGGAAAACAATTTTTTTGGGATTGGTGAAGAAGAAAAAGTCAGATATGTGTGATAGAAATATTCTCAACAAAACATTCTCATGCTTCACATAGATTAATTCTAGATTTATTCAAACCCAATTGACGACTATGAGTTCCTTATTGGTGGACTTAAAACTTGTGCCGAATTGGCCTCAATTCCTCAAACAAGAAGTTCACACCGCATGTCCATCAAAACTAGTGAGCCTCCCTAAGGGATTGATCAACGCAGAGAGCTTTCTTTTGGTCCCACTCGTAACAGCACGGCTCTGAGGAAGGCGAAATCGCCCGAACGGCAGCCATCAATCAACAATACAAACAGAAAGGACAACAACAACGACGATAGGAACACCTATACCAACCTCGCATCAGCTTAAGAAGATCAGTGTATTAGGTCATATAAATAAATATATCAAATATCTATGCTGAAGTTTATAGAAAGTCGATGTTTTGAGTTATGAAGTTTATTTATTCGGAATACCAAGAACTTAGGATGAGGCACAGCTGTTGGGCACAGGTTGTATCAAATGTTGTTGTTGACAACATGCTTCCGAGAAGGGAGAAAGATTTCGAGAGGATGCCGCTGCAGAGACCCCATCGAAACCATAACCTAAGTCGCAACAGTTTGCCTGGAGTACCGCCAGTTTCTCAGGGGCAAGCACAACGAGGGTGCTTGTAAGGCAGTGGTTACAGGTCCTCTCCATTGTACATAGGTTCGATCTCTCGTCCTCGGCTCACTAAGCCCTTCATCCTTCATGGATCGGAAAACTGGTACCAGACTTGTATGCGAGGTCAGCAACATTGTTATTGAAGTTGAATGCATGGTGCATCCTTCAGGGATTGATCAACGCCGAGAACTTTATCATTTATCCATTATACCACCAACTCAACGTTTTTTATCGAGTACGAAGAAACGTTTGACAGTGTCGAAACGAGTGAAATCCTATTAGCAGTCGCTGACTAAGGAGTGGATTTGTTGTTCGTTTTTTATATAAGAGATAACTTCTGCTGTGTCACAAAGCCACTTTTTTTCCATCGACTCCTTACCATTTGGATATAAAAATGAGCTCGGAGAAGCGACTATCTTGCCAAACCTGTTTGTTCCGTCACTGTAATGGATGATGAAGCCACTCATCGCGCAGGAAGCATATACATGATGATGGCAAATCTATATCAAATGTTGTTGTTGACGACATGTTTCCGAGAAGTAATAGCGAAGAAGAAAAGAAGGAGAAGATGATCAATGAGCACAATTATACGGTGAAAGGTTGGACTGTGCATTAATAGGAAAACGACTGATCCCATGAAGATCCTCTAGTGCGGAGGTGAACAAATCGACATGGATTGTTATTTGCTTATACAGTCTATCCCGTACGCACACCTAAAACGTTTAATATGGAGCACACCATTAAGAAGAGTTAAACAGGAGAGTGAAGTCAGCATGTGCTGCCTTCGGACCTTCCAGAATACGCTTCTTAATCAACGAATCCGAAATCCTGCTCCATTTTTCGTCATTACGGTCATTCTGTTGTTGTACTTTGCAACCCAGACGAACAACTTGCTACTTCCCTCAGTTCATTCTTCGAAAGCCAATCCAATTTCGACGTTTACGAGAATACGTGCCAAGGAGGAAAATATCTGAAGATGTGGAATAGTGAGATAGATTGAAGATAGATGGACGAGAAGAACCGTGGAGTAAAATTTGAGAGAATACAAGACTCTTCTAGGACGAACCGTTACCCGAAATGCTGATAAGCTTGTGGCTCAGATGGAAATCTACACATTTATAAATATTCAAATGATTCCAAAAGGTCTTCGAAAGTTATATTGTGGAAACCAATTGTTGTAAAAAAGTATTCAATTCCATCTACTCGAAACTACCTTGCGCTCTTTACATATGTATTTAGACGAAATTTGTTAAGGGAAGGCGACCAGAGAAGATGAAGTCAGGCGAGATCAACAGCGAGAACTTTAAGCATGTTGGAGTACTTGTGCTTGATCGAAAACTGGAAGGTTCTGTGGTAAGGAACAGAATTTTTTCTTCATTTATTTCTATGTTTTGAGTATTTCAGTTAGAATTCTTTTTCACAAGACATCCTTTAAAATAATCTGTGATTTAACCATATACCTTATGGGAGATATATTTAGCGCCATGTGCTTGAGAACACAGTTGATGGAAGCATTAAACGTATTCAGTTCGATGAACGTCTGAATGAAGTCGTCGACATTGGCTCCGATATAGAGCAAATGAACGTAAGAGTAGTTTTCACGAACACCGGTTGCTCCATGGCATGAATATATACAAAGAAATTTCACATTAGGAGCACGTGAAAACAGTGCATAGAAGTGCCCTGTGATACAGGCGTAATTTAACTCCACGCATGAACATTAACCCTTCCAGAGTCGGCAAATTGGTGCCAGACTTGCCCGGAAGGATAGGAGCACCGATTTGATACATCGATAGGCCACCGCAAGTCAATGTACGGGCCACATACACATTAGTTCACTTCCAACGGTGCTTAATGAAGTCGAATGCTTGGCGCATCCCTCAGGCATTGATCAACGACAAACGCTTTGCACTTTCTGGGTTCGTTCTCACCTATTCCTTGACCAGTCACATCGCATTTTACGCACATCTCTTTAAAGATGTGTATTACACCAGTCTTTTTTCAACCAAGAATTTGGAAGGGAAACTTTTTTTGGACGATTTCATTTTGCGATGAAGGACCATTGCTGCTGGAGAGATCGTGTGCCATAAAGAATGTGATCAGCGAAGAAGCGTAAAAATGCCTCTACTTGTGTACAGGAATTCGGCACTTAGAGACAGCTTTTTGCTAAGATAAGCCCATGAATCACTGAGGAGAAGGCACTTTATATAACTTCTCATTCACTACTTTTTCATTACTTTTTTATGGCGAGATATTATGTGAACTACCCACCATGACGCTGAGATATTTGCGAAACTTGGCCCACAGGACAGATCGAACCGCGGTTACTCTTTCTGAGTTTTACGCACACCACCACTGAGGCCGTTCTGTTTCCGGTCCTTGCTTTGCCTAGGCTTTTTGCTATGGAAAAAGAATAGCGATCACATCGAAGTTAAAATATTGTTATGACGACTGCAGTTTCGGCTTCACTTGGTTCGTTGCCGATTTATGGTCTCAGATCATTCCCAGTGTTGGACGACTACTAATAGCACTATTAGGGCAAAAAACTAACTGAGGGGAATGCCAAGCAAAGGCCTCGGCAGGTGCAGTTGATGAGCTCTCGGAAAGGGTAATCGCGGATTCGCAGCGCATGTGAGGTTCGTCCTTATGTTATCAAGCCTTATTACGACCAATTTTATTCTTTCCTATTAATAAAGTTCTCGCTTATTTTCGTATAGCAGCAGCAAATCCTCTTCGCAGTAAATCTTCAGCCATAGAAAAGTTATTGGTGTAGAGATCCTTCCCTCGCCTAGAATATCACACATGAGCTCCATCACCACATAATGCCTCACATCTCTAATTATGGAAAGATCGATACCACATTATACCAATACTCTGCAGGTGTAGCCACATCTCGAAGGCAGTTTGAATAAGATGAATCCGAATATGTGCCTCCTGCGAAAGATGTGCTGGCAGAAGACGACCCTGACTCATAACAGGACGAGGGTTTCCTCAGTGCAGTCGAAATATTTGGGGCTGTATATTTGCCGCAGTTTCTTTTGATGAAGTCGAACCCAATCTTGAACAATTTGTCGAGCGCTCACACCTTGTATTGTTGGAAAAATGGAGGTTTGCCAAAAGATTTTCAAATTATTCACATAGCGTAACATGGTCTCCGATTCTTCACGTTTGGAAGGTTTTCTATCATCTCTCACATCTCCAACGTCTTCATTTTCGCTCCCTATGTTAATCGAAACCAATGGTGAGGACTTAGGCAGCTAACATGGCTCAAAACTGTGATATAGTTTTTGACCATCAAAATTAATCTATAGCGAGCAAGAAAGAGATTTACTTAAGAGCAAAGTGGCTTGAATCAAGGCATATGTGGGTGAGAATGAGCTAAGGAAAACAACGGAAAGTGATCGACAGGGTCATCCAGTGATCATTCACATAAATGCAAAGGGAGTTACATCTTTAACCAAGCATATATCAGCTCCCATCATGACCTTTATCGATTAAAAAAGAATCTATGGAAATCCACAAGTTGATTCTTTTCTTTTGCAAGTCTGATCTCTAACATGACTAAAAAGAGAATTACACTTCTAAAAATCCAATGATTCGTCCAGTTACCGATTTCGTAAGTGTTTTACCTGCCAGAAATTATGGGGTAGTTATTATAAAACAGGCATCGTCTCATGTATATGGCATATAAAATTCAGTTTTCTGCCAATAATTTGCTGTGTTTCCATTTCCATTTGTTATGGTGGAGTTATGATTACTGTATGGGATGGTCGAATACGAGAAATACCAAGGCGGACTCAGCATAATTTGTAAAGTCCTTTCAGATGTTGCAATCAATGTCTTTGTATGACGAACTATAGTATCACCTGTATTAGCTGTTGTCCCACTGATCATTGAATGACTCGAGCGGAGGCCACTAAATATCCCATTTCTCCCTATCGCGCCTAAAAGTAGCCTGGTGGGTTCTGCTCGTTCCAGAGACTCACAAAACATCATATCCTTCTTCTATGGGCTTCGTGAAAAACTGTGACCACCGGATTGGCGGTGGCGTTTGATATTCCGAGAAATCCAGTCACCAACGGCTTTTCTCCATCGGTTGTCGTTTACATTCACTAAGTGTTCGGCCCACCTTATTTTCAATTGTTTGACGTATGGAATGGCATCAATGATTCTTGGATGTTGACGTAGATTAGAGCTTCGGATCTCCTTTCTTATATGCCTGATACAGGTACTCGCAACGTCGTTCTTTCCACTGCGCCTTCAATAAAACCGACTGATCTTACATTGCTACCACGTTCCTGACGAGTACGTCAAGGATGGAAGGATCATGGAGTCGAAAACGTGGGCAAGCAGTCTGGTGTTTCTTGTTCTCTTCACTAGATCCTAATGTTCTTTAAAGATTTCAAGGCGCTCGTTTCCTCCTGCTTAACTCCAGCGCTAAGTCGTTCATAATGTTGGTTTCCCGACCTAGATGGACGTAACTGGATCATTCAGAGATATTCATTCTGTTCAGCGTGAATGGCGCACACTTATCCAATCGGTTCCTCATAAACATCGTTTTTGTGAGATTTAGTCGAAGACCAATCTTTCCACAGGCGCTGTTAAAGTCAGCAAGCTTTTACCTTCCGCCTGGTTAATGCTTCTATTATAAAAGCGATGTTATCAGCAAAATGGTGTAATTGCCGACCACTAAATATCACTTTCATTTTGTGCCATTTCAAGGCTCACATGATGTTCTGGAGGGCGGCGGTAAACAATTTTGTCGAGATGGTATCGACTCATGGAACCCCTGTCGTTACCTCCGTGTTTATATCGTTATAGAATGATGATATTTTTGCTGCCAACTTTTTGTATAGATCACGAAAAATCTCCATATACCGAGTAGGGAGGCCCTGGCTCAGGACTTCCATCACTGCTTCTGTGGCAACTACGCCGAAAGCTTTCTTTGAATCACTGGAGGTGAGACCGAGTTGTCGCTTGTACTATCGCGATACTTCAGTTACCGCGTGGCAGCAATCTTACTATCGAGTGGATGTGCTCCATCGTAGTGAATACTTCTCGAAATTCTGCTTGCTCATATGACCCTTCTTTCTTCCTCTTTCTCCTCCACATGACACAATTGTTCTGTAAGCCTTGCTCAAGATGACTGGAGTGAAAAGTTTGTAGACGAGGGAGAGCAAGCAGATTGGGCGATAGTTGCCGATATTGTGGAGGTCACCCTTCTCGTACAATAGCGGGCCGTGCTGGTTTATTACTGAAGAGGAACCTTGAGTTTTGACAGGAAACTTTTGGAAAGCAGAGCCAGTGTGCTGATAGGGACTGGCAGAAGGTTTTTCAAGTGTTAAGATCTTATCCGGTCCGAACTTGGTGCCATTGGGAATTTCGGAAAGGAGAACCGGTGATACGACATATCCACGTGAGTATTGAAAAGATCTGAATAGTAGTCGTGAATGGTTTTCTCCATTGCCTTTCTGGAGTTGTAACAGTTCCGTCAGAGCGTCCGAGTATAATCATCTTGGTTTTGCATTTGGCGAAGCTTCGATGAGCTTTGCGAATGCTTTTCCCAGCCTCTGCAGCTTCAACCATGAATGCTGATCTTCTGGCTTTAACATCTACTTCTAACGCCAGTCTGCACTATTTTGCAAGTCCGAACGTTAGTTGGCGGTTTCCTGCCGCTCATGCGATTCCACGCTTGCATATAAGATCGAGTGTTTCTGGAGACAGACGTCTCTTGGTGCCATTCGGTCTCTCAGCTTTCGAAGCGCTAATGTGACGATGTTGAATGTGTCGATCATATTGATCTGGATTTAATCAAAAATGGCATCTTCTCATGAGCGGACTAGTGAACTGAATAATTCCTTGTTTATGGTGGATTTGAGAAGTCTTTTTGAATGTAACGGGTTTCTCTCTCTTTTGCTAAAAGTGAAATGTTGCACGAAGGGGGTTATAATGTGGTCCCATGTAGAGTTCAAAGACATAAGTGCGTAAGGGTTTAGGTCAAACAATCGATTCACTATGATGTGATGCATATCGCTACGTTACTCTCCATCGGCAGACTCCCACGTCAAGCGTTGGGAGTGGGACTTCTGAAATTGGGAGTTGTCATGAATGTTCTTGATGGTCGTGATATATTCAGAAAGCAGTTCACCTGGCGCGATCCATTGCAGTCCGAAGACCCTAATGTGACGTTTTTCACTTAGTCACCCATTATTTAGGCAGCCTAAGACGATCCTGAAATTTTAGACGCCTCTCCGTACTCATGCTTCTCAACGCTGCCGTATCGGGGCTCTTTCAGGGTGAGGGGAATGAGGCCTGTTTATTTTACTGTATCTAGCCTTTTGGTACCCACATATAGCCTGGTGAGCTCTGGACGAGGTTGCTGCGTACACTCACGTCTCCCCTAGAGTGGAAATGGAGCTTATTTGTTGGAGACATAATTATTCTCTAACAACCTCCCATATAATTCTCTGTCATTTGATCGTCAGTTTTCAGCCGAATTGGTTCGTAGAATAAAATCTGCATAAACTAAAATGCACCCACACACGCATGCGTGAATACACTCCCCTATACGAACGAGAAGTATGTGTCAAATTGGCGCAACAGAACCAGGCAGTTCATGCCCTGCATGCACTTGAAACTCAGGGAAGCATAAGATCACTTCTGCTAAGCTGGTACCCCCTATCCGCGATAGTAGCATATATACCTTTAAATGCATTAGGCTTCTGTAACTCTGTGATCTTCCAACTTTAGCAGTTTGTCTAGTTAACGAGGATTTATCCCTTATTTTCGAAAAAGGCAACATTTCCGCGTTTAAATTCCGACGAGTTCCGCTGTTTTTTCCGTCGTGCTAAAACCAGTGCTGGTCGTGAATGTGTTAAAATACATGAACTACTTGGGTGATTTATATTCACATAGCCATAGCCAGCAAGCACTTTTTCCATTCACTTCGTTGTCGTAAAACCAATTTACAAAAGTAGTGTTAATACGTGGAGTTTTCCAAGATTTGAAGACTCTCTTCCTATTTAAATGTTTGATGATAACCGACTGAATTTTCTGGAAACTCAAAGTAGCCGTGCGAGAGTGTTTCCTGCTCCTCATTACGACCGTTGTCAGCCTCAGTAGATCGAAAATAGGCTTATTTTCTTCCAGCGTTCTCCAGTAAATCGGTTATTTTGGTCGCACTACTGACTAACCTGATTAGTCAAGTGACTGCTAGGGAGCAATTTAGCAATTCGAGCCCATTCTGTTCAAGAAAAAATTATTTTTTTTTTCATTTTTTGTCATTATTCCCAATGAGTGGCAAGTGCATTTGTTAACGATGCTGTCAATCAGGAAGCAAGGTTCTGGTTTAGCATACTCTCAACGCTTCCCTCTATTCAATATGGGAACTCCCTAGAAGACTGCAAGAAGAATCGAATCGACCTTTATTCTCTGACATTCGTGAAGCAGACGAAATCCCCAAGCACCAGCCTAAGACTCGACATGTTTGAAGAGCTTCATGGACGATGAATTCGAGGAAAACAATCGAACACGTGCTGGGATCCGCACAATAGACGTGATGACGGGCAATGTAAAATGTAACGTGTGAAATTTGTTCTGTTATAGAACTTAGTTGAGTTTGAAAGCTTTTTATGAGATGATGGTGAAAAGCGACACAGCACATAGCGTGGAAAATTGTCAAATTCTCTTCGGCATCAGAGGTCACTAATTTTGGTGGCAACTTGATAAACTGGAAGTTAACGGAAAATGTGAATTTTTGAGAAGATCTTGACCAAAGAGTAGGCAAATCTTCTCGGTGTTCTAGAAAACTCCTTCGCAGTGATTGAATCTAGTGAGTAGCCTCTTACGAAATAGAGTCGATATGTTTAAGAAAACATAAGGATTATAAGCAGCTGGGCAACCTGGCATCTTCGAAGACTAACGATATCAAAAACTACTCGGACACGAAAGTCGAGCAATTAGCCAAATAAACTGTGCAACTTTCCTGGAACCATAACTCAGTTTTAATTAGCAGAAGTAGAAAAAAACGCAAATTAGCTATCGTTTTCCCAGGAATTTTCAGGTGTCGCAGAATACTGCTAGAATCACACATGATACGCTAGATCAGATGTCTGTGAGTACAAACTTCTCCAGTTTTTATGTGGCTATTTGGGGCGACGAGTTCGAAATAGTACAACAAAGAAGTCGAAAACGCGGCATTAAAAAAACATTCGAGACATTCCAAGCAACAGATCGTGGAAACCTATCACCACTTAACTATCTAAACCTTTACATCAGCGTACTCCATCGAGTGAGCTTTGCAGGTACAGGCTCCTATCTCTCCGGGTTGACGAACAGGTTCCAGGCCAGTTTGAGGGGAAAAAACTGTACAGACCAAGTACGCATTGAATAATCTCTAAGTTACTTAAAGAAAAAGGATTTATGAAGCGTAGGTAAGGAGGAAATCAAGGCTAACGGTTTATCCACTATTCATCACGTGACAACTCGTCGGGATATTCACGTGTACTTGAGAATCGATATTATTTATCAGTGCCTCTTGAAAAAGAAGTTTGTTTAACGGGATAATGGGAAATTCCTCCACATGTAACGATACCAAATGTAGTTTAGCAAGTGAAATTCTACAAAACCGATGGAGCCGTACTGTGCTGAAGTAATGTTAATTTTCGAAGGCATTTGTGTTTAACTCTCGACATTGATCATTTCTTCAGCAATGAGCCAAGAAGGAAACAGGTAGCCTACATTCTCCGCTTATAGCACGGCTTTTCAAGGGACCATTTTGAAGCACAGCATTTTGAAAGATAAGAGGCATTTTTCCATCTGAAGCAGATCATTGGTAGACTTGCTCTCCAACCGCTTTCACTGGAAGTGAATGAGTTCAATTTAAGATGACGAGTTGTCTCCGAAAGAATGTCGACCCACCAATAAATTTCACTGTGATTACTTTCACACAAGCGTCATTTGTTGCCAACTAACATACTTTCACCGAACACAGTAAAATTAAGATTCGAAACTATTTATAAATGCAACTAACAATATGTCAAAGATAACGGTGGCATATGTTATGTTAACGGTATACAAGCTTGACACGGCTTTTCTGTGAGCACATTCGAAACATTCTGAGTGCTGCGTGTGCTTGAATCTCAACGGATACATCTTGTGGAGAGTCTTAACCGTATGTGCAAGACACGCTGTTCCTCATTAAAGTAGGAAGCAACGGGCATTTTATTACATAGATTGTTTGGTAGCTACAAACACAAGGATGTCGAGATATGAGTAAAACTCAGACGGGCTTGGAATCCGAAATTACGCTTTCCGGTGGCTACGTGCTGCCTACCACGCTAACCGAGGCTTTTGCTTTGCTAACATGGTTCAACTGTGATTTGTACTCCTCCGATCATTCCCGTTGATGAGTGATTAATGGTAGCGCGGTTATGCTAAGAAACTGGCCGATACAAAGTCAAAGCAACGGGCTGGCTCGGTGGAGTGGATAGCACTCCAGCTCTCAGAAAGAATAATTGCTGTGTCAAAGCCCACCTGAGGCTGTGAGTTTTGTTCACATCTTAACATCCTCGGTGGCTGTTTCTGCTGTGCCTGCATTTCCCATACTTCCTTCTCATGGGAAAAATGATTAGGCGGCAAATAAATGTTAGATGGTTTTACTTTTAAAGCAGATATAAACTTATTTTGTTTCTTCTTTGGTGTGAATAAATGATTACTAGTACTCGTTCGGTATCCTACTATGTTGAATGAAACGAAGACAACCAACTACATGGGTCAACTCATAGGCAGAAAATCGCCCTCAATGGTTTTAAGAGGCGCAGTGTTTTTCGGAGAAATTTTTAGAAAAGATTGTTGTGAAGAAAAATTTATTTTTAAATATTGCTATATTAGCGATTTAAAAAATATTTTAGGAGAAGCGAAGGCATGAGATCACCAAAAAGGCAATATCTAAACCAAGCAAGAATTCGGTATGTCGAAGAATCGTGCGACTTCGAATTTTCACATACGTGAAACTTTGAGAAATTGGAAAGACGAGGTTGAGTTGCGAATCTATCAAGCATTTGTCATCACAGAAACCCACGACAATAGCTTCATGAAATTCTCAACTGCATACGAAAGCGTTTTAAAAGAAGAACTCTTTTTTTGAGAATGGCAAAAACTGCATCATCATGAAGGCTAAGTAGTTTGAATGTTATTTTCAAATGTCTCTCGTGCGGAAGACTCGGGAAATTCCACAACACCAAGTTCGGTGACACAGATCTTCTAAGTGACGTATGACGCTGGATGGAAAACTTGGTGGTGTTTGCAGGATTTTTATAGAGTTCGGGTCATTTAAAGCAGCTCTTTGAGCTGAGAAATTTTGTCGCTATGTATAACATTTACTTGCTATAAAACGCTTAAGTGAAATAAGAATCTAATTCTTAGGTGCAAGTTCATTTATAGTCAAAAATATCTCATGTGCTTTGCTTTGCAACTAACTACACGGACCTCAATTTTTTGCGCTCATTTCGGGTGTCAGTGTTGAAATAATTTTCTAGATTGCCCTTTACGCAGTAGATAATGTGACGATCATAAAGGATAGAGGATAAAGGATAAAGCTATCGGAGTTGATCATTTCCCGAGGGATGCGCCATGCATTCGACTTCATTAAGTATCGTTGGAGGTGATTGAATGCATATCTGGCCTATTACAATGATTTTCGGTGGTCTACCGATGTGTCGGACCATTGCTGCTACCCTTTCAGACAGGTCTGGTACCAATTTGGCGATCCCAGAGGGACAGAAGGCTTGGTGGGCCGCGGGCGAGTGGTAGATCCCACGTGTGTGCCGCAGGGTGCTTACAGTCATGGCCACACGTGCCCTTTTACGTGAGGATCATAAAGAGCGTCAGTTCAGAAAAACAGCTTAGTGATTTCGATTTTAACACGGGCACACATATTCAGCTTGAGTGCAAATGGCGTTCGAACGTGAAAACCAAACGGTCGACTGAATGAACTGTACAAAAGATGCACGAACATCGATTAAAAACGACTTTCGTGCTTTCTTCAAGCTGTACATCACGAATTTCGAACACGGGAATCAACAGTGATCTCCTCGGATATTTTCAGGATTCGCTGAAAACTGCTGCATCTGCACGTGATACGCTGAGAAAAACATCGGTGAGTAGAAATTGCTGGGATTAATTCGGCTTCTGAGTTTGA